ATGTTTTGTTTTGTTTTTTCTCATACCTAATGTCTCAGAGTGTTTTGCATGGACCAAGCGATAACTCTGGAAAAATGATCTCTAGGGAAAGTTAGTGAAGATATGTTTACCTGTTGGAATATCCCACACCTGGCGCTCCAATAGTACCTGGGATCCATGAGTGAATGACTTGGAATGACTTCAAAGGTCATGAGCTCAACAGAGAGGCACATATAGGAGACAAAGCTTCTTAGCTCCCCAGCTGAGCATGTAGATTGACATGCAGTGGCTTGGGCCTGATTGTGTCCATGAACTGTCCACCAGTTAAAATGCAAGTGACGCTGAAACCTACCTGGATTCTGGATTCTGGAATGTCTAGCTCTCGGGCCAGTCGTTCTCTGGTGGCGATGCCTGGGTATGGGTTCCGCTGGAACAATGCGTGCAGAGCCCCTTGCTGCGTCGGCTTCAAAACAAGCTGCCTCCGTTGGAATCCGCATGGGAGGGGGCCTGTTGCAGGGAAAATGACAACCGTATTAGGAAGGCTTTCATAGGAATGCAAACTGGTGGTTCGGTCTCAGCTCTTCACATTCTGCGCTGTGGACACCTTCCCTGGCGGGGGCTTCCTGTGCCTTTGCCATTCATGGATCCAGCTAAGGGTCTGCTCAATAGGACAGGCAGTCCACCATCTGCCTATGGGAAAGGGTGATAGGCAAGGATCTAGGGAAATACCAACTGCTATCAAACCATGTGATGGCATGCCAATGAACTGAGGAAACCCGCGGTGGGGTTGAAGAGGTGAAAGCACCTTAGGAGAAACAAAGAGGAACCCATTGCTCCTAAAAAACATCAAGGTCAACTCCGACAACACATCCAAAGTGCTAGTCCATGAGGTGAAAGTTCTCTTTTTTAAATGACACCTGAAATAGGTGCTGAATATTTTCCTGTTCTCTGCCACCTGAGATCTAGCTTGCCTATTTGTAAAAGAGGGACTCTTGTTGGGAATCCTGGCCACCAACTTCAGTTTTCATTCTGACGGCAGCCATATGCAAACCTCTCTCTATCCCTTTCCCTCAATCCTCCCTGGATCACAGTCCCTCCAGCCTGTATGCCGGCAATTGAGGTGGTCTCTTCCACTTTTGGGAGCCCTGGAAAATTATCAGGGACTTTGGGAAATGCAAGCAGGGAGCAGGGCATTGGATGGAAACTTACTCCTTGATGTGCAGGTGGGAGCCATGCTGATGGAGTCACTTGGGTCCCAGAGCACTGGCCGGCTGACTGGGCAGGACCCGGACCATGGGACTTATCAATGCCTCGGATGACCCACCCCTGGATGTCCCACCCCATCATTTCGACAGCTTCCTGTGGTAACCCTGCCTTCAGTTTTCTGACCTTTGGCAGAAGAGGTCTTCAGGAGGACCTCGGGACCACTTGAGGTAAGTGCTTGCCCTGTGCAGGTGGACATGCTCCCCCCCAGATGCAATGTGCCTTTCCCACTCCCACTAGCTTTTCTCCGGGATTACAGCCTTGACATCAAATCGTGGTGTTGAGACTCTAGGACACTGTGTAGGACCTGACTGGGTGAAGGACCTTCGGTAATCTCTTCAGATTCTGGCATGTGCGTGTGGAACTCGAATCACCTTTGGCCTCCCAAGAGGAGCCTCCTAATTAAGTTCCCTTGTTTTGCATTACATTGTTTTCTTTCTTTTCTTTGTTTACATTTATTTTTTATGTATTGCAACTTTCGTCATTTTTCATTTGAATGTTTTTGTTTTTCCCCTTCATTTTTCTATTTATTTTTTTGGTATTACTTTTTTTTTTAATATTGATTTTGTAAGTGCCCTGGTATTTTAAACCTTCGCCCCACCAGTCAGGACTGGTTAGCTAGATAGTTTGTTGTCTATATGCCCTCCACATCTGGGGAACCCGATTGTGATGACATCATGGCATTTCCCAGGCAGCTTGTGAAGCTACAGGTGTGGAGCCACGTAGGATACTGAAATCAGTCAGCTTAGATGGGTGGCACGTGAGAGGGAAATTGCAGAGTTGGCCATCGCCATGTATGTGGGGTGGTTTGGTCGACATTATTAGTTGCTTGTGGGTTTGCACATGAGTGTGTGTGGCAAACCACCTCCTCTGACTCAGAGGCTTTGAACCCTTTCCTCCCAGCCTCACATCCAGCTGATTCCTCTACTGGCACATCTCTTATGGGCCATGGAGAAAGCTTGGAATCTAGAAGTTCCTTATCAACAACACCAGCATTTGGATTTGACTCTCCTTTTATGGCCAGAAGAAAATTTTAACTCTCATTGGCACCTTCAGTTTCTTCTCTTTCTGTGTATAAGAGGTGTCAGCAGGGGGCGGGGTGGAGCAAGACTGCAGAGGAGTAGGAGACCTGGATGTTGTCTGGTCCCAGGAATTCAGCTGGAGAGGGATCAGACCATTCTGAACACCTACAAACTCAACAGGAGATCGAAGAAAAGAATAGTAACAACTCTCTGATCAGAAAACAGAACATTTTCTGGAAGGGAGGACGTGTGGAGAAGTGAATCTGAGGCGATATTCGGGAGGATAGACGGTGGGGGAGGGGGCCTCCATCAGCTGCTTTTGGCAAATGATAGAGTCGCAGAGCACAAAATTGGAAATTTTAGAAGTCGGCTCTGCTGAGGGACGTTGCTCCAGTGGCTAAGCGGGGGTGGAACCCTCGTGGGACACTGTGGTCTCAGGACCCTCGGGGTCATAGAAAGACCGGGGGTGCCTGAGTGCGGCAGAGCTCCCAGGTATTGGAGCAGGGAAGCCGGCTGCAGAGACAGACCCAAGGCACGGGCTCTCAGCTCGCGGTTGCCATAAACTGTGATCAGTGACACAGTCAGGCCACTGCTCCTCCAACAGGGACTCAACATGTGGTAGATCTGGGGAGACTCCTCTTCCTCCCCCGGGAGGAGCGGTGCGGGAGCGCACCACCGGGATCTGCTGGGTTTGGAGACTCCACACCGAGTCAGGTGCCAGAGATAGAAACGCTCGGTCACAGCCCGGGTGAGCATGGAGTATGGCCGGAGACAGGGAGGTGGGAGTGAATGACTGCTTTTCTCTGGGGGTGCACTGGGGAGTGCTCTCCCTGAGTTCTCGTGTCCTCCATGGCAGAGATTGGGAGGCCGCCTTTTTCACTCTCCTCCTCCAAAGGTGAAGGAAAATCTTGCAGGGAACAAAATCTACTGAGAGCAAAGCGGAGAAAATTACTTAGCACGGACTGGCAAGGGCGGGGCAATTCCCTCTCCGGCAAAGACATTTGCGAACCACGGCAAAAGGCCCCTCCCCCAGAAGATCAGCACGAACAGCCAGCCAAGACCAAGTTTACCGATCAGTGAGAACAGCAGAACTCCAGTGTTAGGGGACTACTGCACATAGAATTCATGGCCTTTTTACCATGACTCTTTAGTCTTACAAAGTTAAGTTTTTTAAAATTTTATTTGAATATTTCTTCTTCCCTTTTTCAACCAACATCTTATCAATCACTTTTTTAAGAAACATTTGATTTTTCATTTTTAGAGTCATATTCTATACCTTCATAGTAGTTACCCTTATTTTGGCATATATATATATGTTGTTCTCTCTTTAAAATTTTAAGATACAGTTTCTTCTAACAGATCAAAATATACTTTAAATCTCTAGTGTATGGCTTTGTTCTAGTCTCCTACATTATCACATACTCTCCGTTTTTTTTTTCTTTCTTTTTTTAAAAAATCCTCTTCTTTTTTTTCAAACAAATTCTTATCAATTCCTTTTAAAAAATTTTATAATTATCATCTTTACAGTCATTATCAATCCCTTCATCATATCAACCTTTATTTTTCTACGTATATAAGTTTTACTTTTTAAAAAAATTTGGGAGTCACTTTCTTCTAAGAGACCAAAATACACCCAAAACCTAGTGTGTGGTAATGATTTATGCACCAGCCTGATCGTATTTGATAATATTCTGTTTTATTTGTATTGTTCTGTTTTTATCTTTTTCTTTTTCTTTTTTTCTTTTCCTTTTTTTCATTATATTTTCTCTATCTTTCCCTTTCTATTCCCCTGGTTTCAGGTCTTTTCTGATTTGTTTAGAGAATATTTTCTGGGGACGTTTTTACCCTGTTTTCATTTTGTTCACTCATTCATCTCTTCTCTTCTGGACAAAATGACAAGACGGAAAAAATCACCTCAACAAAAAGAATAAGTAGTACTGACTGCCAGGGACCTACTAAATATGGACATTAGTATGATATTGGACCTAGAGTCAGAATCATGATTTTAAAGATACTAGCTGGACTTGAAAAAAGCATGGAAGTTAATAGAGACACCCTTTCTGGAGAAATAAAAAAACTAAAATCTAACCAAGTCGAAATCAAAAAGGCTATGAATGAGGTGCAATAAAAAATGGGGGCACTAACTGCTAGGATAAATAAGGCAGAAGAGAGAATCAGCGATATAGAAGACCAAATGATGGAAAATAAAGAAGCTGAGAAAAAGAGAGATAAACAACTACTGGATCATGAGGGCAGAATTCGAGAGATAAGCGATACCATAAGATGAAACAACATTAGAATAATTGGGATCCAGAAGAAGAAGAAAGAGACAGAGGGGAAGAAGGTATATTGTAGCAAATGATAGCAGAGATCTTCCCTAATTTGGGGAAGGAAACAGGCATCAAAATCCAGGAGGAACACAGAAACCCTCCCCAAATCAATAAAAATAGGTCAACACACCGACATCTAATAGTAAAACTTAAGAGTCTCAGAAACAAAGAGAAAATCCTGAAAGCAGCTCAGGAGAAGAGATTTGTAACCTACAATGGTAGAAACATTAGACTGGCAACAGACCTATCCACAGAGACCTGGCAGGCCAGAAAGGACTGGCATGATATCTTCAGAGAACTAAACAAGATAAATATGCAGCCAAGATTACTATATCCAGCTAGGCTCTCATTGAAAATTGAAGGAGAGATAAAAAGCTTCCAGGACAAACAAAAATTAAAGGAATTTGCAAACACAAAACCAGCCCTACAAGAAATATTGAAAGGGGTCTTCTAAGCAAAGAGAGAGCCTAAAAGCAACATAGACCAGAAAGGAACACAGACAATATACAGTAACAGTCACCCTACAAGCAATACAGTGGCACTAAATTGATATCTTTCAATAGTTACCCTGAATGTAAATGGGCTAAATGACACAATCAAAAGACAAAGGCTATCAGATTCGATTAAAAAACAAGACACATCGGTATGCTGTCTGCAAGAGACATATTTTAACCCAAAGACAACGCCAGATTGAAAGTGAGGGTGTGGAAAACTGTTTACCATGCTAATGGACACCAAAAGAAAGAGTGGCTGGCAATCCTCATATCAGACAAATTAGATTTTATTTTATTTTTTTCAAGATTTTATTTATTTATTTGAGAGAGAGAGAATGAGAGATAGCACGAGAGGGAAGAGGGTGAGACGGAGAAGCAGACTCCGTGCTGAGCAGGGAGCCCGATGTGGGACTCGATCTCGGGACTCCAGGATCATGAACTGAGCCGAAGGCAGTCACTTAACCAACTGAGCCACCCAGGCTCCCCAAGAAAAATTAGATTTTAAAGCAAAGACTGTAATAAGAGATGAGGAAGGACAGTGTATCCTACTTAAAGGGTCTATCCAACAAGAAGATCTAACAATTGTAAATATCTATGCACCAAACATGGTAGCAGTCAATTATACGAGCCATTTAATAACAAAAGTGAAGAAGCACATGGACAACAATACAATAATAGTGGGGGATTTAACACCACCCTCACTGAAATGGGCAGATCATCTAAGCAAAAAATCAACCAGGAAATAAAGACATTAAATGACAAACTGATCCAAATGGATTTCACAGATATATTCAGAACATTCCATCCCACAGCAACAGAATACACATTCTTCTCTAGTGCCCATGGAACATTCTACAGAATAGATCACATCCTAGATCACAAATCAGGTCTAACTGGTACCAAAAGAATGGGATTATTCCCTGCATATTTTCAGACCACAATGCTTTGAAACTAGAACTCAATCACAAGAGGAAAGTGGGAAAGCACTCAAATACATGGAGGCTAAAGAGCATCCTACTAAAGAATGAATGGATCAACCAGGAAATTAAAGTAGAATTAAAAAATTCATGGAAACCAATGAAAATTAAAACACAACTGTTCAACGTCTTTGGGATGCAACAAAAGCAGTCCTAAGAGGAAAGTATATAGCAATACAAGTCTTTCTCAAGGAACAAGAATGCCCTTAAATACACAACCTAACCCTACACCTAAAGGAGCTGGAGAAAAAAAACAGCAAATAAAGCCTAAACCCAGCAGGAGAAGAGAAATAATAAAGATCAGAGCAGAATTCAATGAACTAGAAACCGAAAGAACAGTAGAACAGACCAACAAAACTATTGATAAACCCCTGGC